TCTCTCTCTCTCTCTCTCTCTCTCTCTCTCTCTCTCTCTCTCTCTCTCTGTCGCGCGCGCGCTCTTCTCTCTCTCTTTCCTCAATCCTCCCGCCCACTCGGGCTCCCTACTCCCCGCTCCTTCCCCTCCCGCTCCCCGCCCTATTTTCTCCCGTCTCCCGCCCCATCCTCTCCCGTCTCCCACCCCCCTTCTCCCTTACACCCTCCCCCCCCCTCGTAAGGGTGTCCGCTGCCTCTACCAGTCCGTACACAATCTGACTACGCTAGTGTCTTAGCGCATGCACAAAATATCACCAGAGGAATTTTATTTTGTGACGGATATGCATTCAAACTGGAGAGGGGGTATCCCAGCATAGATTTATGTGATAAATAGCTGTCAGTAGACACATGTTTATAAATAGTAGCGAGCCCTAGCCTGTACGGTCTCCTACTTGGCTGTTGGGCTCGATTTTGCTGTTAGAGTTCACAACATTTTTGCATGGCAGATGGCGCTGGCGTTCCTCGCACTGACGTCATTGTCCAGTCTGAACGTGGCGACTTGGAGATTTAGTTATTCTGTCTGTGCTTTTCGTTTCCTGTTTATTGTGCCGTCAAGGCCCTGGAACACAGCGAACATTTTCGAAATAACGAAAATGACGTCTACGGATTTTGGCAATCCGCTTCGGAAGTTTAAATTGGTGTTTCTTGGGGAGCAAAGTGGTAAGTTTCCACACATCTACTATTTAGTACTTAGTAGTCAATACTGCCTGGTAAGCACTGCAGTGATTCATCGCCGTGTAAAAATCGACTACGTGTACGATCATAACATCTGATAACATCGTGTAATAACTTAGTGGGCGGTTGGTTGTTCTACTAGTGAATAGTGACCAAGTCAGCAATGGAGTAATGATAATAGTGTAGTAATTAGTATAAGTGCAAGAGATCACAGAGTCAGAGAACTTAAAGCCACAATACTCAATAGTCAACATGCGCATCTACACGCTAATTTCTCCAGAACTAGACTAGCAAATAGTTCGTGACATGCATAATTACACTACCTTATGACAAAATAAACTCTAGTTCCTCCCATTTCACTGCGCGTTTGCTTAAACCCCACAAGAAAGAGGTGCGAATTCTGGTAATCTGGTGCCAACGCCGAATTGTTTGCCAAGCAATTTCGCCCCGAATTGGTTAGGTGACGTCACATGTTGCTACGGGTGTTGAACAGAGAATATAGTCGTTTACATTTTAAGATAGTTGTAGTATTGTGAACTGCAGTGTATGTAAGTTGTAACATCAATGGCCATTGGGAAAGTAATAAACTCACAAAACAATACAGTACGAAAAATACACAACCAACTGCCATAATATTGGCATTTGTGTGTAGCTGAATGGTCACTTGTTCGAAATATTCGTCTTGCAACTTGGTACCACATACTTTACCCAGAATTATATGAGAAATCCTATATGGCGTTGGTTTGGCCATGTCTGTAGAATGGATAACGACAGACCAGCAAAGGCACTTCTATACAGCGAGCTAGCAAATGGATCCCGATCTGTTGGTTGTCCTAAATTGAGATATGGATACCTGCAAAGGTGCTCTGAGGTGTGGTAATGTCCTTGATTAGTGGAGGAATGTTGTAGACAACAGGCAGGAGTGGAGAGGACTTGTGCATACAACTTGTGAATGCTTCAACATAAAGAGAATCAAACAGTATGAAAGAAAAAGTGAATGAAGACTAAAGAATTTGAACAAAAGATGATCTATGAACTTTATAGCGATAAATATTTGTACTACATTATTATTCTGTGTAATGCCCGTTTCGGGCTCTCCCTCTCTCTCTCTAGGCGTACATATAGCTTATTGGTTGTTCGCATGGTGTAACACACTACCCACAAAATGTGTTGCTCTCAATAATAATTTATTATCATATCAAATGGTTTAGGTAGTTATCGAAATATATTCAGGAAGCCATAACCAGAACATTGAATGCGATTGTATTCAAGACTTATTTAGCTCAGTCCTAGTGTAGAACTGCCATACGTACATGTATGCGAATAATCATACATCATCACCATGAGTTAAATAACCATAATTCTAACCCTAATGCCCGGCGCACACGTGAGTTATTTTACTCAAGTAAAATGACGCATGAGTCATTTTACTGACGTGTGCGGCGGATTTTCGTTGAGTAATTTGACGCATGCGTCATTTTACTCACGTGTGCGGCGGATTTTCGTTGAGTAATTTGACGCATGCGTCATTTTACTCACGTGTGCGGCGGATTTTCGTTGAGTAATTTGACTTGTGCGTCATTTTACTTGAGTAAAATAACTCACGTGTGCGCCGCGCATAACCTTAACCCCAACCCTAGTGATTAACCACATCTTGTGTGTACAAGGTTTTAAGGTAGGATAGTCTTTCTGTTCAGTGTTTACCATAATTACAACAATGTCACGATCGAATGTTATGATAGGGCCAAGGTTGGCCAACTTTGATTACTATATATATGCTAAAAACTACAGCAACTGAGGAATTTATCCCTGTGAATATTTTCAAGATGGTATCCAGAAATTAGTATGCAGCAGCTCCCCTACTTAAGAACAGGATAGGTTTCTGGGGTTTGTTTGTAAATCCAAATGTCTGGAATAGAAGTCCAACATTACTCTTATAAATACTGTACACAGCATTGTATAAAAAAGGTTTGTACAGTACAGCTATACCCCAATGATACTCGACAGTATATATTTTAACAGACTTAAAGCCGCACAATGCGCATCCAAACGCTAATTTCTCCAGTACTAGACTAGCAAATACTTCGTGTCATGCATAATCACACTACCTTATGACAAAATAAACTCTAGTTCCTCCAATTTCACTGCGCGTTGTCTTATAAAAGGTATTTTAAAATACCTCTAATGTTGTTCAAATTCTCCGATGTTGTTGACAGTTTCCCCAAGCAACCGTGCAGCGGGCAGCGGTGCTGCGGTACAGCTGTACGGGTGTAGCAAAGATAAAAACGTGACGTCACCCTAACCACTTTGAGGCTAAATTGTTTGGCAAACAAGCCGGCGTTAGCGCCAGAATGCCAGTTTTCTCACCTCTTTCTTGTGGGTTTTAAGCAAACGCGCAGTGAAATGGGAGCAACTAGAGTTTATTTTGTCATAAGGTAGTGTGATTATGCATGCCACGAAGTATTTGCTAGTCTAGTACTGGAGAAATTAACGTTTGGATGCGCATTGTGCGGCTTTAAACAGTATTACCTAAAGTCTAAGGAGCACAGGTTGGGAATGGCTTAAATTAAAAAGGTTGTATAACCTCCTGTAAATGTAGATGGCATTTGTTCTTGTTGGTCTGACCATCTTCAGTTTGTTTGTATCTCTGAAAGTTCGTAACTTGAACGTTTGTAAGTAGGGATGCGCCTGTACAGCCTAGTACAGGTTTGAATGCAGTACTTAACAGGTATGCAGCTGGTAGGGGATGATGCGATGATGCGATGATGAATGAATGAAGCAATTGTTTCATATTTATGTAAGTCACCCTAGTTCACATAATTTGCTGTGTTGTTGAGGCCACAATAAAAATATTGTTTGTTTGCCCTCTCCTGACCGACCCACCAAAAAGGGGCCGACTCAAACAATTTTATTGATCTCTCCCATTCTTTTTTTTTTACAAATTGTATCACTGTACATCATATAAATCTGTAGGCAATACATTATATATATGTAATAAGCAAGACAAACATTCAACATAAAAGGTATCGCCATACAAGCACACCGGAGCATGTAGACACCATGGATGCTGAATTTGTAAAAAAAAACCCTCGAAAAATTAAAAAAAAACCTACCTACCCAGGGCTCGAATTTCCATATTGCTAACTCGCAAAATTCGTGTCGATATTGAGAAATTGCGAGTAGAAAATATAAGCACTTGCTATTTTCTGCGAGTGGAAATTTATAGCGACATGTGCAAAGTATATTTAAGAAGGCAAGAACACAATCACATGCATGCCTGATGGCATGAAACAATCGGCTTCACATACATAAATCATAACATAAGCTCATTCCAACGATTAGTAGTAATAGTATGCAAAACGTGTATGTAATATTCAAAAAGTAGTTTATGTTGTACAAACAAAATTTCTGCACATTAGAATTCATTTTAGCATGTAGATTTTTTAGGCACTCGCGATTTTTCGCAAGTGGCTAAAATTGCTAAATTCGTCCCCTGCTACCTACCCGAACTTATCAGCCTGGGTTGGGTGAGGGCAAACAAAGATTTTTTTAGTTGTGGCCTGATGAAAGTAAAACTATGATATTGTTATTAGCCCTCCAGATTATCTTTGATTTTTTTATATGTTGTCAATGTTATTGCATATAGGTAAAAGCTTACTGTATCTTGGTCCCTATTTTGCCATAGATGTTTGGAAAGTAATACCATTCATGACATATCCCTCCAATTTATTATTAGGATAAAAAGTAGAATTACCCAAGTTTCCCATGCAATTTAGTCACTTTAAATTGAACTATCATCGCATATCTTAGAGTCTAAGACATACAGTGTTAGCAAAATCCTTTCATATAACACAGGTCTTCAGGTTGTGTTATATGGTGAGTTTTGTACATTTATCTGTGTGAAGAGCTGCACATTGCATGCACAGATGCAAATATGGTCTCGGCATGCAAGCACGGGGAGATGTGAAACCATTGAAAGGACGAGACCCTACAGTGTGAAACTGCAGACTAATTGCAACACTCTGCTGCAGACTGGGTGGATGCTTGATTGTCATCACTTATTGATCGATCCACTTGTTGGCCCTGAGATCGAAAGTGTATCCCTTTCTTATATCTACACTCACTGACTCAGTGTGCAACCTGCATAAAAAATGGCTTTTGTCTGTGATTTAGTTATTGCAAAATGCTGTGAATATATCTTGACAAGATTTTTAACTCATATTCAAGATATTTTGATTTACTGTTCAATGTATGTTTGATCTGCTCATGTAAAGTTGAGTTATATGGTGTCCTTGTAATTTACATACACTGTGAACACCATATAATGTGGCTCGATATATCGCAGAATCGCTTAAAACGGGGTCAAAGGTTTTGCCCTAATTAACAGGGAACTATTTTTATTCTAGTATAAAACAATGTTTCAGAATTCAGAGCACTTTCAAGGAGTCGGCTCAAGTCAGTCCAGGAAATTTCCATGGCAGTGCGATACGTAGAGTCATTTATAACGTGGCCCAAAATTCTGGAACCAATCTCTTGCGTTATAAAAAAGGGTCTACAGTATATCTTAATGCGCCACAACTATGATTGCAGTTACATAAATGTCACTACAGTTTGATTGCATATCTTGACAGCATTTTAAATATGTACAGTACTACAGTTAGACCTTGCTTATCCGAACGAGATGGGCGGCGAGTATTTTGTTCGGATAACTGATCTGATGAATAACACAAATGGATTGAAAATTAAATTATCTCAAAATATACCTTCATTTCAGTGCAATATTGAAATTAGCTTGAATTCTTCATAACCTCCGAATAGTCGGTGACCCAACGAGTCACGGGTGGTCTAGTGGCTCATTAAATATTCACAGGACCTTGAGATTTTGTTCGGATAACCGAGGTTTGACTGTATACGTGTAATTGAATACACATGATATATATGTTAATCCTGTTATTCAGTAGACTAATTGTTCTGTTTCAGCATCA